TGATCTTAACCTTTCCAAAGAGCGCTGCAAATCAGTCTCAAAGCACGCCAACAAAACAAGTCCACAAGCAGCAACCTTTTCCTCTCGACACCTCTCACATCGATACACTCATCACTTTGGCTGCTCATGACGATTCCATCGATGTACAAACACGAGAGAGGACAGATAGCAGCACTGACAGGGACCAATGCCAACGTTGCAGAGCTTCGATTTAAAAATATTTACTTCTCCGCAGTACCTGTTATCAACAAATATCGATTGGATCGCCCGTAACAACTGGCAATCGATCCCATATTTTCGCAGGTATGCTTATAGACTGTTGCGCCTGTTTTCCCTAGATTAACGAAGCACATATACACGGGATGGGTGATCTCCCACAATTATTCAACAACCTGGTGTTGGGCGACTATCTGATCAGAAATGCTGCAACCGGGCCAGAAGCCATACTACTCTTCTTGCCTCTTGAGGTCAATTATTTTGCTGTACATCTTTTCTGGCACTTTCCCTTAGACTTTGCCTTGGAGCAACGTAATGCTCCGATAATTGGATCACTTTCTGCAATCTCCCTCCTTGAACAATGGCACTATAATCCCGTTCTTCAATGCGTTGGTGTGTTCCACCTAGACAGTGCAGTTTGAGAAACACGTTTAGGCCAGTACACGCCTTGTTTGCTTAATCTTGAGCATTTCAGGGTAGATTTCATCAATTCCAGCGGCTTTACCACTTTTCAGGCTTTTCAAAGCTTGTGAAATTTTATCTACAGAAATTGTAATATCCGTTCCTTTCTGTTCCATAGGTGAGTCTTCATGCGGTTGCGCGGAGTTGAGTTCCTTAAAGTACTCCCTCCATCGCCGAAGAATGTCACCATCCTCTGTGAGAGGGTGTTCAGACCTGCCCTTCAAGACTCTTAGACTGGTCTTTTTTCACCGTTTAACAGCTGCTGAAAATACTCATCCAATCTTTTGAGGCGTTTCTTCTGACCTGCTACTGCGATATTCTTAGCGCCCTGGTAAAGGACAGAGCTGAGTCCTTTAGTT